TAATTCCACACACGGGGTAATTCCACACACTATATACTGGATACTCTCTATTTGTAATGAGAGTAAAGTTTAATTAAAAGTTACTATTCCCTGTTTCTAAGAGGTCATTTCTTGTACTTTCTGATACTGTTAGAGAAGCGTTCACCTACATTCAGAACAAGAATTTTAATTTTATCTGCATTTATCTTCAAACATCTTTAGGTAAGTACAACCCCTGCACTTTTTAAAAATATTTTTTTTGGTCTTATTTTTAATTGTTGTCAATTATTTATTGATTATATGAAAGCTTAATCATTTTTGTTAATAGTAACAGTTAATGATGCTAGATTCAGCCTTTAATTTAGAACAGGAAAGCATATTTTTTTAAATAGTAGGTGTGGGGCAATTCCACACACATGGTGTGGGGCAATTCCATACACTATAATTTGGAATGTCCCATGTTGCTTTTTATACTCTTTAGAGGGTTTAGCTTTTATTTTAAACCATTTCAAATGGTTGTGGCTAATTCTGTAATTCACAACTCATGATTTAATCTTAAAAATACTTGAATAGTACTAGATCTAGTACTATTTATTTTTTAAAAAACTCTGCTATCAAAGTTAAGTAAAATTGCCACATACTTCTTTTATTTCTTTATCTATTATTATTTTTACTGTACCTATATTATTTATTATAATGTATGCAATATTTAGAGCTAAACATCCCCATACACACATTAGTAATTAGACTTATTAACATTTAATTTTGTATTTATTTCAGAATGGTCCACAATTATAAACGAATAACTTCGGCCTATGACAGATGAGAGTAGAATTCAGGAGGAAGAAATTGAGACTTTCTCCTCACCCAGTGATGAAGACTGGTTGCCCCCATGCAAAATTGTTTCCAAGGGGAAAAATGTTTTTTACACATTTTTAAATACATGAATTTTAAAATTTTCATAATGTGTGTGGAATTGCCCCACTTGCCATGTTTTTGCAATAAAAGTGAAATATTTAAAAATTGTATTTTATTTTGTGAATTATCTTTATATTTGTTTGCCATCATATAAGTAATGCATGTCTAGTTTTACCCTCAATAATATATTGTGGTAGTGTTGATTTTAGATTTTTTACAAATTTTTTAGGAAAGTAGTGTATGGAATTACCCCGGGTTACCCTATATATATATATATATATATATATATATATATATATATATATATATATATATATATATATATATATTATATCTGTGTGTGTACATAAATATACATGCATGTATGGGGGCCGAAAAAAATTGCTTTATAATATTAAGTTAGTTGACTCGTGTATTAATAAACAGGAAAATCTTTATTATAGAAACATCCGTAACTGTTATCTAAGGGTCGTCTTTTAAAAAAAAATCGAAATGCAGGAGAAAGGCTGCCTACAGATTAATATTTGAACATCACATTATTACCATTGATTCCTGTGACGCCACTTGATTGATTTATTATTTAACAACAAACATGGCGGCTTTTATGGAAGGCCATTTTGCCCGTTGAAAAGTTCATTGTAAGGCTAAAGGCACAATGCAAATTCACAACACACGTGATTGGTTCTAATTCATTGATATTAGTTTGATTTACCTTTAAGAATCTATTAATTTATTATTTAAATGAGCTTTACGTGAAGTAGAGTTCGGGAGGTGAAGTAGAGATCACATGTGACCTCAGCATATGAAGGGATAGTTTGCTCAGCCGAAATCGGAGTTTTAAAAGACTAAACCATGTTGTCTGAGATGTGACGTTTTGTGACGAGGGGAAATATAAAGATCGTCAAATAATCGTGACGTCCTTTATGGACGAGCCCCGAAACCCACCGTCATCAAAGAATAACTGGTAGTCTAGTCAATGTTTAAATTAAGATTTAAAGTTGTGTTTACTCTCTGTAAGTTAAAAATAAATCAATGTATGTTTTACGAATAGTGTTATTTAAAATTATGTTACGTTATTTTAAGATTGTTTATTTCTATATCATAATATGTCTACTATATTATATTGCCAAGCGATGTTTTTATATTAAATATCACATGAATTTGATTTTATTAGTGTAATTACAAAAAAGAATTTTTCTTTCAGTTATGTAGCCGCATGAACACATTTATTTCTTAATACATCAAGGGCGCCCAAGACAGACCTGGAGGCGGAGTCTTCTTGAAGAACTGAAGCCAATAGGGATGTCTTGGGAGATGTCAAAATTAATAGCCGAGGATAGGAAGAAATGGAAGGAAATGGTGGAGGCCCTATGCTCCATAAGGAGCAAAGAGGAATAAGAAGAAGAAGACATCAAGATGTGTATAACATTAAAAAAAATGCAAAAATTAAAACAAATCACCACAACCATGCTCTTAAATTATATTAACAGGAATGGTTGGTATTACAATTGTGCTCAACATGGATTAAAATGAAACAGATTCATTCTGTTTAAATTAATGACATCTGTAAGCTGATGTATTGATGAAAATTATAAAATGGACAGTTTGTAAAATACCCCCAACTGCCCAACTCAAGTGACTGACTTCAAAACAAATAGTTACAGCCATTGAGAATCAAATCGCTATTCAGTAATCCTCTCCACTTAAAATATTTACAATCATTTGGTTGCGTAAAAAATTTGACCGCGCAGGCATTTTTCTTATTTTGTTCATATTTGTCTTGGTCAATATTATATTTATCAAGTCCATTTAAATATTTTTCATCTGAAATTTTGGAGTAAGGTCCCTAATACTTACCCGAATCAGAAAGTGTAGTTTACTCTGTAAACTCAATTATGCTTTCTTGATCTTGATGAGATTTTTTTTTAATGTTAAAACGTTTTATGTTCCTTAATTTTGTTCTCTTTTTAAACTTAATAATTTAAATCGTCATTGTTTTAATGGGTGGTGACATAATTTGTATTTAAATTACCTTGTGTATTTTCCATTCATCCGTAATTAATATATGATGAATTTATAAAATACAAGGCACTATTTTCATTTATTATTAACAATGCACATCGGATTTCTAAAATCATTAGATTGTAAAGAATATTGTTTGTAGCCTATTTTATGGTTTGACTGACTGTGTTAAAGAGGCCCGCAAAATTCAAAGAAAGGCCCCCAACTCCAGATAAAAAAAAAATTATTGTGTATTTTTCCCAAAGAAAGCCACTTTTATGTTAAAAATGATGCTTTAGATCTACAATCATAACAAAAACGACAAATCCAAAGTATTACTTTTTATTAGACATCAATGCATGCATTCATTGAATTTACAAACAAAATATCAGGACTTGTTTTAATAGTACGTATAGCTATAATAAACTTCATTAAAGTGGGTATCATTTTGGCTACATGGTCTGTAACATGGTCATTAAATTCACTCAAATCATCGGATTCTATCGATATAAGCACAAAGGCTTCAATGTGTGTTGAAGACCATATAATCAATAAGAGTTGATGTGCAAAAACATATGTTTGTGTGTTTAATTAAAAAAAATAGTCTTTATGTATTACACAAAAGCAAACAAAACAGGACGATTTTTGCAAGACTTGTATTTTGTAAGTTCTTCATGAAATTACACCATGAAGATCATGAGATGAATCTTCATTAAACCAATCCTCTACTGAATCTTTTAACATATGTGCTCATTATAGTATCTCCCAACAACACATTATATTTATTTGTGCTTTTGTTTCCCCATATTCGACCATCTTTTGTCGTTTGTGTTAATTTTTTTGATGTTGATAAAAATAAGTTTTATTTAGAACTATTTATCATAGTAAAAAGATATTTGATAAGAGGATCGATGTAAAAAAAGTGTGGTGACTAAATGTTTTAGCAATAGTTACTATTGAATATTGTATGACAGTAGGCGTTAGTAATGTAATTTCGGCGTTAAACTTAAATGTAGTGTGTATGACTGTAGTGTGCACAGATTTACTTTAACTATATATTGATTTCAATTATTTACAATTGGAATTGAGGCAAGTCTCTTCAGTTTCTTAATGTACGTACATGTATCAGACTCTTGTATATTTCTAATATTTCCAAATCAAGTTCAAGTATTTTAAAACTGTCAAGTTAAGATTCGCATTTTTAAGCGCGTGTTTTTGCAGTTAATTGTTCATAATGCCAGTTTGTTCCTGTTTTCTTCATGGTGTTGATGTTTTTCTGTTTTCCTCAAACCGTTGGTGTATACTAGCCGCGTCTTACCGTGGTTGTGTTTAAATGTCGAGTTTTACACATTTAAACATGTTCTCTGCTTTCTGTATTTTGCTACTCTGCCTGGATTTGCTATAATGTGTTCAATGACTTGTATATACCTGTGTTTGGGAAATCTTGCATGTGTGTCTTCAAACCTTCTCAACCCCTTCCCGTCGTCTAGTCTAACGCTTGTTGACTCGCCCAAACCCCTCCATACAGAAGTGTTACGTTTATGGATAAACTCTTAAAATCAAACCGGCATTAATCCAGATGCTGTTTTGTGTAGTTATAAGCCCCATACTTAAAACAATTAGTTTAAAAATTAAAAATATTTTTGCATGGTAAAGTAATGTTATGAAACAAATGCAACCAGTCAATCGATAATGAGTGTGTGTAAAAATACAAGTAAGATGACGTGATAATTAGGTTACATCAGAACATACAGAACCTTCACATTTTAAGAATAACAGTGGAGTGAACAGATTTGTCTAATAAAAATATGTCTGCTACACTACCTTAAAGCTATAGCTTTATTTAAAACATCTTCAGATACTTTGTTTACACTTGACGTACTTTCATCTCAACTGAGTCTGCGATATGTCCATCACTTGATAGCTCATACCAGTATATTCCTGTATTAGAGTCTGTTGCACCCCAGACACCATTTAAATCTACATATTTACAGTTGTAATACCACCAACCACCTTTACAAACTCCAGCACAATTTGCTCCGCTGTGTAAATCATTGTCCCTGTCGATGGTAGAAAATTTCATACCATTATGATATTTTAGATAGTCTTTAACGTTTCCACTGAATGACGACATGTATAACGTATACGATGCTGCTTCGTTGTCTACCTTGAAATAATCGTAATGGGCGTAGTACTTTTTACCTTTTCGAGTCATGTCGATTCTCAGTTCATTGTATCCCTGTAATGTATAACACGTGTGACATATTTAACTTTTTAAATATTGCTTTAGCCTGTATGTACAGATTATATTTTTCTAAGCTCACCATCAAAGTCAGGTTAGAGATCCAATCATTCCCAAGCCAGAAATCTCCAATCATTGAACCAAATCCGTGTTTATAGTCGTTCCAATCTCTGGTAAAATTCACGTCACCCAAAACACGTCTCTGAAATAGGATATTTTGCAAGATATTGATAAACTATTTTAAACCAAAATAGCAATAACACAAATCTAATTTATAAAAGATCACATTTTTAAAAAAGATTTTAGCGTATAAAATTTTCCAACCTGAATAATGATCCAACCTCCACCGTCAGTTTTTGTGTCGCACAAAGCCAATTTGTCTTGACCAAGTCTGACGGTCGTTCGTTCTGGTACATCAGTTTTGTCGTTCTTTTTACACTTTTTATAAATAGAAAGATGCTTGTTTTAACACATGACTAGAAACAAATGAACTTATCACCAAAGACTGCCTTAAAATGTGGTTTAGTTTTATAAAATCATACTGATTTATTTTCTAAGTCTTTCGTACACGTACATATGGTCGTATTTTATAATTCTAAACAATTTGTATAATGTATGTTGCTTGATTTAATTCTACTTTAAACACTTAACAGTGCTAATTCACATAATATTTATGTCGAAATAAAACAATTACCTGAAGTGAAATCCGTTACAACACAGGAATGACGTTGTAGTCGTTTTTCATCTCTTGTACAGTTGTGTTTAAAACTTCTATCATAAGGTTTGTTTGGTTGTTCCCTGTGATGGTCTCGTTGAGGTTTACGTCTATTGCTCTGAGTTTGTTATTCACTGTTTGCATTTGTTCTGTGATGTTATTTATCTTAGCATCAACCACGTCTATAGCTCTAATTTTGGCATTCACTGTTTGCATGTGTTTTGTGATGTTATTTATCTTAGCATCAACCACGTCTATTGCTCTAAGTTTGTTATTCACTGTTTGCATGTGTTCTGTGATGTTATTTATCTTAGCATCAAGCAATTCTATAGCATTAGTAGAGCTGATGTGTCTGTTACTGTTGTTTAACTCTGTAGATGATGGAATCTGAGCCGTGTCGTCACTGTACCAATCTCTACCAGAATGTGACATCTGTAAGGACATTGACACGTCTGCGCCTTTTAGTTTTTCTGGATCTTCAAACGATTTCAGAAAGTCGGCCATCGTGTCCACAGTTTTCACGTAGTTCAAAGTTTGAGCTTTCAAATTCATCAACAAAACAGATTTCTTTATTTTCTCTCTTTCATAAGACGTTGTTCTATTCTCTAGAACTCCAATGTCTCCTGTCTTATTGGTAAAATATACTTGACATTTATACTGGTGTAAATTACAGGCTGAAGTATTGGAGAAAGACAAGACCAGTTCTCCGTGATGTTTGGATAGTTTGCCGTCAGATAATATCCCAGATATTTTATAATCGCGAACCTTTGAATCAGACCCTGAAATAGACGCCAACAAAATCTTCCCTTCAGATTCACTGATCCTATAGACTGACATGTTGACAAGAGCTGACATTTGAGTGTCTTCTGTTATGTTTTCTGTACACTGGAGTTGTGCACAAAATAAACTTTTCCCATGGTAAAAGTGTTCTCTGGTCATATCCACTTTAAGGCCTAGAAAACAGTAGACAAAATTAAAAACGTAATATCTAATGCGTTCAATTAATTAAATATTTTGTACACATTAGAGAGATTATTTGATGTGTACAATTAATTAAATATTGTGTACACATCAGAGAGATTATGTGATGTGTACAATTAATTAAATATTGTGTACACATCAGAGAGATTATGTGATGTGTACAATTAATTAAATATTGTGTACACATCAGAGAGATTATGTGATGTTCAATTAATTAAATATTTTGTACACATCAGAGAGATTATGTGATGTTCAATTAATTAAATATTGTGTACACATCAGAGAGATTATGTAATGTGTACAATTAATTAAATATTTTGTACACATCAGAGAGATTATGTGATGTTCAATTAATTAAATATTGTGTACACATCAGAGAGATTATGTAATGTGTACAATTAATTAAATATTGTGTACACATCAGAGAGATTATGTGATGTTCAATTAATTAAATATTGTGTACACATCAGAGAGATTATGTGATGTTCAATTAATTAAATATTTTGTACACATCAGAGAGATTATGTGATGTTCAATTAATTAAATATTGTGTACATATCAGAGAGATTATGTAATGTGTACAATTAATTAAATATTTTGTACACATCAGAGAGATTATGTGATGTTCAATTAATTAAATATTGTGTACACATCAGAGAGATTATGTGATGTTCAATTAATTAAATATTGTGTACACATCAGAGAGATTATGTGATGTTCAATTAATTAAATATTTTGTACACATCAGAGAGATTATGTGATGTTCAATTAATTAAATATTGTGTACACATCAGAGAGATTATGTAATGTGTACAATTAATTAAATATTTTGTACACATCAGAGAGATTATGTGATGTTCAATTAATTAAATATTGTGTACACATCAGAGAGATTATGTGATGTGTACAATTAATTAAATATTGTGTACACATCAGAGAGATTATGTGATGTGTACAATTAATTAAATATTGTGTACACATCAGAGAGATTATGTGATGTGTACAATTAATTAAATATTTTGTACACATCGGAGAGATTATGTGATGTGTACAATTAATTAAATATTGTGTACACATCAGAGAGATTATGTGATGTGTACAATTAATTAAATATAGTGTACACATCAGAGAGATTATGTGATGTTCAATTAATTAAATATTTTGTACACATCAGAGAGATTATGTGATGTTCAATTAATTAAATATTGTGTACACATCAGAGAGATTATGTAATGTGTACAATTAATTAAATATTTTGTACACATCAGAGAGATTATGTGATGTTCAATTAATTAAATATTGTGTACACATCAGAGAGATTATGTGATGTTCAATTAATTAAATATTTTGTACACATCAGAGAGATTATGTGATGTTCAATTAATTAAATATTGTGTACACATCAGAGAGATTATGTGATGTGTACAATTAATTAAATATTGTGTACACATCAGAGAGATTATGTGATGTGTACAATTAATTAAATATTGTGTACACATCAGAGAGATTATGTGATGTCTTAAAATCTCCAGTCCGGGAACCGTCCTCGCCACTCTCATGTTAGCAGTCGAGCTTGCCACAACCCAATTACGAAGTTCCTTCATTATTCAAACACAATCAAAACATTTCTTACTAAATATTGTTTAAAATCACTGTACTTTAGTTTAATTTTTTTATATAAAAAATTACAATCTGTGTGTTTTAGGGTCATTCATAAAGGACGTCACGTTTATGTGTACATAATTCAAGATTTCGGATGTGATGCTTAGTGGAATAAAACTAAACGAACTCTCCTTTCATAAGCGGAAGCCACAGTTAAGTCGCTTTGTTATTTTCAAATTTTCAAATTTTGTTCAATACTATTGTATTGCATAAGATCTAAAATCCTTAAAACTTTGAGTTTATCTTAAAACCATTAGTTTGCATTAAAAAAATAACCTTTAATTAAAAGAAAAATTCCGAAATGTTTTTTAACAATAAAGGATAATTGTGAAGCATACTTAATAAATAACAATTAAATAGATCCATACGCGTTTCGAATATGCTACATTTTTAAGAAGACAATATAATCATGGGAATAGCCGTATTGTTTTGTTAGCACTATTTAAAGGGCAACAACCAAGTTAATATTTTCTGGAAAATCTAATACACCTATTTGTATCCCTTTACGTATACGTTCTATCTATCGAAATGATACGGGGTATATGGAGCTGAATTGTTTTCACAACAAGTTCTTAAGTAAGCTAATTTATGTTTCATAATTTAAATATGCGACAAGTGCACTGTCTTACAAAAATGCATTAAAGCAATTAATTTAAAAAAGGCTAATTAAGTAATGTTTTGATCGATTAAATCTTACTGTTCCGTTTTTAAATTATAATCATTTCGACTTGTCTTATTAAGACCTAATATAATTAAAGTGAGCTTACCAAACGACAGAAATAAGTTGACGGCTAACACAGCAATAAAATACAAAGCAGACATTTTAAACTATTGCAATAACATCAACTCAGCTGAGTACGTTCTCATAGCTGGTTTGTTTGTCAAATAGTCTCGTACTTATATACCGACCAGTTAAAAACATACATAAGTTGACAGGAGGTTGAAGGTCAACATGCACTTGTAAACAGATATTACGTATTGAGTTTGCCACTTGAGTTGACCAGAAATAAATGTCTGAAGTTGAAACATGATGTCAGATAATATCACATAGATTTCTTGTGTAATCGTCTCCTTACATACATACTTGAATAAGAAAGTATTCGCAACAAGAACCGACATGTAGTTACTAGCACGATACAGATTACTGTCTCATCGATACCAACATACTTATCAAAGTAAATAGAAACGGAAAGAGCAATTTGCCCCACTTAAGAAAACTCGAGTTCCCATCACTAGTGACGTTTTCTATTTAAAAATAACTAATTAACTACTGACATGTAATATTCAAACATTTATTTTTAACCTTTAACATATGGTGTGGCAAAATACTGTAAAACCTCATATGATTGTCTTTATTTTAAAACATTGTTAAATTTGATGAATAACATGTATTTCTTATTGTAACATTTCAACTATATTTATGAATATATTTAAACATTTCAAATATTATATAAATGTATAAAGCAAATTTTTACTAAAATCTATTTAAATTATACTAAGATTCTTATAATTTAACACATAGTTTTAGGTTTACGACATATATTTTAAGCTCATGTGTTAACCTACATTGCAAGGAAGCAACAAGAAGAATGTTTAGAGAGTCAATTAGACACACTAATTAGTTGCAATAGCACTCGGGACAAAATAGATGCAATAGAGAGAGAACTAAACACACTGCATGCACATAAATACAAAGGTGCTCTCATTCGCAGTAGAATAGATACTTTAGGGAGTGAAGAACCATCCCACTACAATATAATACTCGAGCAAATACATGCCAACAACAAACACATCCACAGCATTACAACCAGCGACGGCACGGTGACAACCGACCCCGAAGCCATCAAAATAAGTTTTACAACATTTTACCAACAACTATTTAAATCAGAAGAGGTCAATACTAACCCAACACAAATATTAAAAAATATAAGGGCAGACGATGAACACTGAAAGAGAATAGACACGCCCATATCTAAAGAAGACATACTCAGAGCAATCAATGGACTAACATTAAACAAATAACCGGTCCAGATGGCCTGACAAACGAGTTTTATAGGACTTTTGTAACGGACCTGGTCCCTATTTTACAGGCAGCTTACAGCGACATGCATAAAAGGAGAGACTGCGGAACCGACTTCAATAGATTCTATATCACTCTGATCCCAAAACCCGACACAGACAAAACAAAAATAACCAGCTACCGACCAATATCATTACTAAATAGCGACTATAAGATACTGACCAAAGCCTTGGTAAACAAGCTCGAGACTGTCATACCCAAACTAATAAACTCAGACCAGCAGTGTAGCGTACAGGGCAGAAAAATAAAAAACCACACACACTTAACACCAGACATCCTGCATTACAGCACACACAAAAACTCCAAGCTAGCGTTACTTAGCTTAAACCAACAGAAAGCATTTGATAGGGTAGCACATACATGGCTATTTAAAACAATAGAAGCCTAGAATCTAGGCAACTACTTCAGCACGCGAATAAAAACACTCTATAACAAAGCACACAGCCACTTACTTATAAACAATAACATTTCTACTGCCATACACATCCAAAAATCAGTTAGACAAGGTTGTCCATTGTCCCCTATTTTATACATCCTTAGTTTAGAAGCCCTCTTAGAGAATCTTAGACAGGACAGCACTATAAAAGGACTGAAACTATCAAACATGGCTGATGAAACGATATTGGCCTACGCCGATGACACAACTTTTCTACTTCAATCTGAGAAAGCCATAAAGACAGTAATGGAAAGATTTATTGACTTTGGTAAAGCCAGTGGCGGAAAGATCAACACGGACAAATCGAAAGTGGTGGACAAACTAAAAATTTACGGAATAACTTATACAGGCGATAACAAGTTGAGAGACAATGCTACCTGGCTAAAGGTGACCGAAAAAATCCAATCAGGCCTTAAAAATACAAAAATATTAACACAACGATCTTCACAGAGGCCACTCTAGTTAACAGATATGTCATACCTAAAATTATATTCCTAGCAACAAATTCTACGATACCTAACAGATTCATAAAAACAACATACAAGCAAATTAGGGAATTCATCATTAAAAACACAATTAGAAACAGTAGCAACAGAACTTTGATACGAAGCAAGATAAATGGCGGTATAGGGCTACACGATATACATACAAAAATCAATGCCTTTATGTTAAAACACTCTGACAGAATTAAGATAGAACCAAACAACTATCCATTGGCACAATACTATATAGGGCTTAAAAAAAGAATATCCTCAAAGTTAATATCACAACACCACATTATGGAGGGAATGATATAGGGAACTTCTACAGAGAAATAATAAAAATATCTAAAGGAAACAACATCATTGGTGAAAATTCCAAAAAAAAAAAAATGCAACAACCTGGTTAAGAAACAAGCAACCCCTCCATACCATAGGATTAAATGGGCCAGATAGTACAATACAATAGATATAAGCGACACCTTCAGAAACTTACATAAGAAGCAAATAACACCCAACGTAAGAGATATTAGCTTTAGGTTAATATTAACAACAACCCAAATCTCACGCAACACCAAGTCAAGCAAAAACATTAAAATTACATGCCAGACCTGCAAACAAAACATACAGGAAACAGAAAAACATATTGTTTTTAGAAAGCAGTACAATTCAATTAGCAAAACAAACAGTAAAGACCATCTTAAAAACAAAGCAAATAATCACTGCAAACAAAGCTATTACATTTAACGAAATCAACAAGACTGGATTTGCAACAGATGACGACGACAAAATGATTCCGACAGCCGTCTTTCGATCGCTAGTCTGGTATTTACGAAATAAGATTAAGTATGACGGATTTAAATATACAGACAAAGCTGTCAATGAAATCTTTAAATCGAGATTTAGATCAAGACTCAGTCAATACACACACAATTTCGACGGACAGCAGACATTATAAAATGCAAACTATTAAAATAATTATGTATATGTGACATTATGGGGAGATATTTTCATATCATGTCTTCCTTTTCCCACAGCACCGGTATAGTCTTTGCTCTCATAGAAAACAAAACATTATTTCATAAAAAATTATCCCAAATGGCATTGGTTTGAGACCACTGCCCTACTAAAGCATGCCAAATTTGACCTTGATCTGCAATTTATTTTTCCTACTAGAGATCTAGGTCTATACTAGTCTATAGCAGACTGACGTATAGCCTACACGCTTTAAAGCGCCGTATCTAAGACGTGTCAAAAGTGGCCTCGAACTGTTTCCTCATACTTTGCTCAAAATAGAAAGTGTCAAATACGGCCTTGAACAGCTGTTCCACTTCTCTCCCCACTGCAGTGTCACATGTCTTTTCAAGACGTAGTAAGTAGAACAACGCTTGTCCATACCGCAAGTTAGGCCTAAAGGGGAATAATTTCCATCCAAAAAAAAAAAAAAAAAAGATAACACCACCCTCCTCCAATTCGGCATCCAATTAGAATCTACTATGCATCTATGTTTTTTCGCTTTCTCTCTTTTATTTACAAATTGTTAATAATTCCTATTAATTTCTCACGCTGTTTATATCGTAAAAATTCTCAACAAAACTAAAAATATTTAAGACTATTATGCTAAAAATACAATTTTTGTATATCTTTATTTCTAAATACCTTTATTATATTGTTGATCGACAAATCCTTTTTTTTTAAATACAGTTCACCATTTTCTTCATGTAATAATTATAATAGATTGACGATAGAAGCATGTGGTTGTATATAAAACGTTTATTGGGTCTAACTACATGATGGTACCAGCAAGAGAGGAAGGAAGTACAAGAGACAACTATTTATATATATGTAAGGGACATCACTCAAGATAACAATATAAATATAATACTAATACAGAAGAGTGAGTTCCCTTGACCTCACAATTATCTCAATCTATTACATCCCTTTACCCTTAGAACACAATAACACATCTCTCAATAGAACAATTGATAGTATCCTAAAATCACCAATTATATTGTAACATGAACACTATGGTAGATTACATCCTTACAAACAATGCACAATATGCTACAACATAATCAAGATACAAAACAATGATGTCAAAGTCCTTTTGACCTTTAAAATCATAGGTCTAACTTATTTGGGACTTTGATTGTCCTGCTTGACCTTCTCAGTGGTTTTTGATTTGGTGACTCAAGATTCTGACCATCTGGATTCTCTATCTCAGGAGGTCTAGGATTTAAATCATTAACTCCAGAATTTACATTTTCTGACTCCAGACAACTTGGTTCACTCATATCAACAGAACTTGGTTGTGGAACAAACTGAGTTGGTGTGAACTGTTCAGATTTGGTGGGATTGACAGATTCACACTTATTATCTGCCCAAGTTATTTTTAACTTTATAAGACACAGGTCCTGTACATTGAACAATTTGACCTGGTATCCATTTTTCCTTTCTCCCATAATTTCTTAGATACACATTATCATTAACACCAAATTCTCTTTCAATGCATGTTTTGTCATGATTTAATGGAACTATTTTTGAATTGGCATCTGGAAGTATTATGCTGTTATTCAGATCCTTGACTGACATAGATTTCTTTGATTGATCAATTTTCCTCAGGTAATCTGATAGTGCTTTTTGGTAACCAAAAATACTGTTTAAAAGTAATATCCTGGACCATATCACTTTGCAACTGTGATCCAGTATTTGAAGTGGGTGTATTAAATGGCAAAAATCTTTTTCTTCTTTTGATGTTACCCTTTTAGTTTCTGTAAGTGCTAATGATGTTAGCAAAGTTGTTTGATGATCACATTCCTTCTTACTAATGTATTTTCTTTAAAACATTTGAAATTGCCATATCACCATAATCATTTATTAAGTTACAAATACTTTGTT